TTCTGGAGGGCAAGGGCAGTGACTGTACCATCGAGCGTATTTTGCCGTATTAAACACACAGATTTCATCAGGCTCTGAAAATTCTTCAAAAATAACACAAATGAATTTCCTTCTGAGCCAGGGGCGCAGGAAGATGCTTTCAGTTGGGGGTGCTGTGTGTGTCCTTGTTGGGGGGCAGCGGGTGTGCTAGCGTCACATGTTCATCAGGATTAGTGAAGTGTAGTGACATGGTGACCCATACTCAGAATTAGTGCTCTGCGTTTATCCCATCCAAAGTGCACACACACAGTAAAATTTAATCATGTTTATAAAGATAAACATGGGTTTATTATAGCCCACTTACAATTTACATTTCAGAGATCATTACAAATAAATTATTAAATGCTAAAACTGAATAAATTTAAATGAACAAACTTGGCGTTGCATTTGCAACCATGTGAAAACAGGGGGTGCTGCAGCCCCCTCAGCACCCCTACTTCCCGCGTCCCTGTTCTCAGCTGCCAAGTGTGCTCATATTTTGGTCTGACCTTTTTGGAAAAACATTGAATGCAAGTGCATATAAGAAATGTTATACAAGAAATCTATATGCTTAAGTTAAGATATCACAACCATGAGTTCATTAAAATATGACCACCAACACTTGCATATCAATGCATATTCAGTATTCAGAAACTGTTAAAATGCGTTTCACGTTTACAGAGTTTAGGCAATCAAAACTGACATCATTTACTGTACATATAAAGGTTTTAAACAGGCTGTTTTTGCTAATTTACCTTTAATTCTAAGGGCCAGAGAGAAGGTGAAAAATAGTTATGAAAAGTAAATTTTAACCATTTTGGTGCAAGACACTTTGACTAACTTGCTGTCAGGTATGACAACCCTTTAAGTTAATTAATGCAATATCGTAGGGCTCCATGTGAACTCGAAGCTAAATCTGCCGCTGAAGCTGTGGTCTCTCTTACATTCTCTTTTTTTACATATACTGGCCTCTTTACGTCATTTCTACCGCTTAACCAGTTTTCAGAAAACATTTTCTTCATTTACCCTGCAGGATGGCCTTGTGTTAACATCTATATGGACATATGAGGGAGCATTTTGTGTGTGTGAATTGACCTGTGCCTGTGAATTGCTTCTCAGGTTAGAGATTCATGTGTGCACATGCACATACAGCCACGTGCAAACATCAGCATCACTTTCAGTGTGTCACAAAAACATTGCTGTTCAGTTTGATGCATTCATTTATTGTGCTGTAAGCAAAGGTGTTAGTGTTATTTTAATGTGCTGTAAGTGTGATGCATGACAGTTTATAGCTGCTAATTCGTTGCCTTTAGTCCCTCAAAACTGGCCTGTGGCATGATACAGCAGACCCGGGACAATGAATGCATGTGCATGCTTGAGCGTACTGTGCCATACTGGTCTGTGGCATCCATGCAAGCCACGACACTCTCATTTGGCACGGATCAGTTGTTGCGTTGCTGGAGAGCCAACTCGGACCAGATGGCCCCTGTGCGAGTGTACGCCGACAAAAAACATTTATTCAAAGACCCAAACGGAGCAAAAATATGCAATTTGGTGCAGTTGCTTATATTTATATGGGCAGCTAGTAAGATGAAATTCTGATGGCTTATAAATGTAAATCAATAAGAACTTTACAAGCTAACTGTATACATTTATTAATATGCATTTTAATATCAGTTATCACTTCCCAATAATATGGCTTAGATGATTTAAATGCTTCGCTTTATGATCAACGTATGTTTTTATTATGGGGGCAAAACAATGCTATTCAATTCAGTGATTGAGAGATGAACAAACTCAAAAGCCTGTTTTAACAATTTATGTAAATAAAGTATGGATAATCAAATTCAAATTTGCTTCAGTATAGGTGTTCATCTTGAAATATTAAAAGTATTTTTATGTTTACTTCAAAAAGATCAGTAAAGATTTTGCAGCAAAAGGACATGCATGACCATTTTTACTAAATTGATATACTAAAAATCCATGTACTTGCTAAAACGATCAATCAGACGGCAGAAGGCATGTAGTAGATTGTGTATAGTATATATGGCATATAGTAGCTTTGTTCCCGCTGTTTTAAAGGTGTTAAATAAGCTGTAGGATGGGGAAGTCTTGGAGAATTTATATCATGTATCATATTTTTGTTATCTGTTGTGTTATATTTTTAAATGTGTTTTTTTTTTTATTTGTGTTATGGATGGTTGTCACTGTCATTTTACTGCAAGACAAATTTACCTGCGGGTATGAATAAAGTAACCTAACAGAAGTTTTGATCATGTTGATAATTTAGATGAAATTTGCGTAACAAATGCAGGTTTAGACTTAACCCTGTAAAGTCTCATCATGAGACTTTATAGGGTTACGTTTAACCTCCATTTATGTGTAGATGTAAGAGAGTCAACCTAATGTGAACAACAATAGCAATTGAAGTTGTGGATTGGCATAGCAAAATATCTGAGGTGGCGTTTTCTTGCTCTATGTCTCTCAAGTCAGACAAGTTATGGCATTGAAAGTAAAACACGAACTAGGGAAAGATTCCATTTGCTGTCTGCATATGAAGGGAGCTCCAAAGCGGACCCTGAAGAGCCCAGAAACAGCCTCCTTTCTCCCATTTCCTCACAAGACACACTGGGTAGCAGATGGGGCTTCATTCCCTGAGGAGGGAGAGGATGATGGGGGAAAGGAGGGGTCCAAACACCTACAGCATTCCCCTCTCCTCTGCCTTTCTCCAAGCTAAAGGAATCTAGGCCAGACACACAGAAGAAAGAGAGAGTGAAGTGGACAAGGCCTTTTCAGGGCATTGTGGGAATAAAGGTATTACGCCAGAGGCTGACGGATCTTTCCGGGTCGACATAAGACAGTGATCCAGATCTAATCGAATTTGACAATCAGTAATTCTATAGAACTCTACCTGAAAACTGTACCAACTGATGAATCAGAGCAGTATAAATGAAAGTAGGATATATATACACAGTAAATATGTACTACTTTACCTGCATATATAACAGTATTTTTGCTTAGGACATATATACATACATATACACACACATATATATATATATATATATATATATATTATATATACACACACACATATATAGTACTGTGCAAAAGTTTTAGGCCAATAGTATTTCCATCATCAAAAACAATGGTTTTAAGACAGTTATTTATATCTTGCTGTAGTGTGTCAGTAGGAAATATCAGTATACATGTCCAAACATTCATTTTGCCAATAATTTTAATAATCCAGTAAGATTTTTGTATGCACAAGGAGACTGACAGCGCCAGTGCTCCACACAGAGATCTGATCTCACCATCATCAAGTCTGTCTGAGACTACATGAAGAAACTGAGACAGACCTAATCCAGAAGAACTGTGTCAATGTCTTCAGGACGCTTGAAGAAACTTTCCTGCAAAGCTCACAGTACTGTGAAAAGTTGTAGGCATTTATGTAAAAATGCTGTAAAGTGAATGCTTTCAAATAGGATTTATTTATTGTTTAACTTCAATTAACTAAATTAAATCAACATTTTGTGTGAGCACCCTTTACGTTTAAAACATCTTTTGTCCGAGGTGCACTTGCGCATTGTTTTTCAGGTAGCTTTGCAGGAAGGTTTCTTCAAGCGCCTTGAAGACATAGCCACAGTTCTTCTGGATTTAGTCTGCCTCAGTTTCTTCTGTTTCTTCATGTAATCTCAGATAGACCGGTTGATGGTGAGATCAGATCTTTGTGAGGAGCCCTGGCTGCTGTCAGACTGGATTATCACTGGATTATTACAATTAATGGCAAATGGAATGTTTGGAAATGTGAACTGATATTTTACAGCAAAAGATAGAAATAACTGGATTAAAACCATTTTTGTTGGTGAAAAAACTAAGCCTAAGACTTTTGCACAATACTGTATATACATACACACACACATATATAATGCTTAAAATATAATTATAAAATATAATGTGTTTATTTAATATGTATATATTGTTTGAATGTTTGAACTTGAACTATGTTTATATAACATGTATTATATAAAATGTAACAATTTTTTACAAATAATTTTTTACTTAATCAGTTACGAAAAGAAAGCTGTTTTACAGTCTCTGGAATAAATAGATATAATAGATATAATTAAGAGCCAAACCCGATATATTTATGTTTAGTTCAAAATCTTTAGAAAAATCTGTTGTATGATTGTGTTAAATTCCTTTTAATTGCAATTCATTACATTTTTAAAAATCTGACTGTTATGTTCCCTATCACACAGGCGTACCACAGAGTCAGTAACCTCCCCCACCCAACACACAGTGCATCTCTTCCAGATGACTGAACTTTGAGCCCTGAGCCAGCTTCTGTCTCGTCATATCTCCTCTCGTCTCCTGGGGCTGTGAGAAAGTGACATGAGAAGCATTCCTTCTTGATCATCACCACATTATTTAGATGCCCGCCGTACTCTACTGTCACGTTCCACCTGGCTCGGAGGTTTCCATGGAAACTGTGCGGAGTGACAGCATGCAGGCAGCGTGTGAGTGGGCACTGGGAGGTGTGGGGAGGAGCCAGTTCTCCCGCTGCAGCATCCGAAGAGCACACACACACACACACACATCTGAACATCCTCCTTACTGCAATCAAAACCCCTCTGGACCGAGTGTGTCCCCCATCTTTCTTCCCACGCTAAGGAATCCTCCGTGCCTCAATCAACCAGTGTTTTGTCCGTCTCTGGTGAATTAAGGCAAAATGTCTTCTAAGCTGCCTTCAGGCAAACCCACGTCCCCTTTCAGGAAGAGAGGCAGCTTGCAGTACACAGCCAGTGGGGGTAAGTGTGTTTGTTCAAAAACAATATGGATTTATATAAGTGTGTGTGTGAGAGAGAGAGAGTGCGGTAGAAATGTGACGGAAATGGAGAACAGAATGTGTATTTACATGTACATTTTTTTGTATACATGTACATTTTTACATGCGCATTTCATATATTCAACATATTTTTATGCAGGTTCCTTTTCACATTTGACTTTCATGCGACAAATGTTCAGGAGAGTTTCAGTAATCCAGCATCCCCATAATGTAGAAACTTTTATACCTGTTGATTTGAGGGAAACTTTTGCAACCTTTCCATGACTGTGTGTTCTTATTTTCTGTCTCTCTCCTTCTTATGAAGGCTCCTTTAGCTCCCTGCAGAGCTAAAACCTATACTTTACATGAATATTTTTCTCTCTGAAATGGAATAATAGCTCCTGGATCTGTATTTGATATTTCTCAGATGAGCAGAAAGAGGAAGTTATGCATTACACATCATTTCTGACCATAATTACATGGCAGTACTTAGCTGATTGTGTTTGTGACCACAACCCCTCAATTCCTGAATAAATTCAACCAGATAATGTTCCTGATTCAATTGCAAGAAAGCCAGACGAGGGAAATCAAACATGCACCAGTTACAGCAGTGACTGGTTTAGAGCACATCCATAAAATGCATGCAACACATTGTCTGTGGTCAGGCCAGCATTGCGTAAGGCTTACATAAGATCCGATCCAAAAACCACTTCACACCTCTCTCCTGCAGAAAAACTGTGATTTTATCCAGTGCTAGAAGCACAAACACGTTTGCTTAGGCGTTGCATGTATTCATTAGATCTTCATGCCTCTGATGTTGTAGTTAAACCCTGAAACAGTGTTCGGGAAAGTGCATTTATCTCTGGTTGAGTGCAAAACCACACAGAGATAAATGTTGAGACTTATTTGTCTTGCTGTGCCAGGATAATTTCATGAGTCTGAGGCAGGAAATGTTATCAAAAAGCATCTTCACCACAGAGATGGAGTAATCATCTGAGCATGGAGGCTTAGCAGGTGGCATATTGCTGCTGTCTTTTAAAAATTATACAAAATGAAAAGTGAGTCCATGTAGTTTCAGACAACCACGGTTACAGTCATAAAGACACAAAACAGTTCTCTTTCTCTCTCTTACACGCACACATGCACCAATTATATTCAGTGCTTTGATTTAAATGAAAAAAGTCCTTTAAATAGTGTTTTTAGAGACACTACGACATGCAATATTTAAAATTCCTCTGGCATTTCGGCAGCAATCAAGTGTCTGATTACTGAAAGCCTGTGTGTGTTTTTAAAGTGGCTCATTCTTGACATATTAATGAACCCTAAATGTGCAAATACAAGGTATGATTTGGAAGAAAGGCCTCATTGAAAACACATGGATGGATAGATGTTCCATTTCACTTTGAAGAAATAACAGCTTTCAGATCCACATTTCTGGTGTGTTTAATGCTCCTGATTCTTTTCTTTTGTGTTTGGCTTTGCTTGTAGTCTAAACTTACCTGACTCTTATTTCTAGGCCATAGGAAAAATATTACAGAGCGTTTTGGTGCCAGTTTCAACAGAATATTTGAAGTAAGGTGATTTGAACATTCTTTTAAAGAGGCACAATATATTGTCATATTGTATTGGAGGATAAATGAGTGTGTTTTTGTAAATGTAAAATTGTAAGGTGTACGTTTTTTTTGTTTTTGTTAACTTTTTTTTTTTTTTTAATCCATGGCACAGACATTTTTTTTCCTTTTATAATTCTTTTTTATATTTGCGAATTGTGTTTTTTAAAAAATATTTCATTACATTTGTATATATGGACTTTTAAGCAGTCAGTCAAAATATTGATTGATATGTAGTATAAATACAGTGGTGTGAAAAAGTGTTGGCCCCCTTCCTGATTTCTTATTTTTTTGCATGTTTCCTCACACTTTAATGTTTCAGATCATCAAACTAATTTAAATATTAGTAAAAGATAACACAAGTGAACACAACATGCAGTTTTTATTATTAAGGGAAAACAATCCAAAACGACATGGCCCTGTGTGAAAAAGTGTTTGCCCCCTAAACCTAATAACTGGTTGTGCCACCCTTAGCAGCAACAACTGCAATCAAGCGTTTGCGATAACTTGCAATGAGTCTGTTACAGCGCTGTGGAGGAATTTTGGTCCACTCATCTATGCAGAATTGTTGTAATTCAGCCACATTGGAGGGTTTTCGAGCATGAACTGCCTTTTGAAGGTCATGCCACAGCATCTCAATAGGATTCAGGTCAGGACTTTGACTAGGCCACTCCAAAGTCTTCATTTTGTTTTTCTTCAGCCATTCAGAGGTGGACTTGCTGGTGTGTTTTGGATCATTGTCCTGCTGCAGAACCCAAGTTCGCTTCAGCTTGAGATCACGAACAGATGGCCGGACATTCAACTTTAGGATTTTTTGGTAAACAGCAGAATTCATGGTTCCATTTATCACAGCAAGTCTTCCAGGTCCTGAAGCAGCAAAACAGCCCCAGACCATCACACTACCACCACCATATTTTACTGTTGGTATGATGTTCTTTTTCTGAAATGCAGTGTTACTTTTACGCCAGACGTAATGGGACACACACCTTCCAAAAAGTTCAACTTATGTCTCGTCAGTCCACAGAGTATTTTCCCAAAAGTCTGGGGGATCATCAAGATGTTTTCTGGCAAAACTGAGACGAGCCTTTATGTCGGCCGGCCACTCCTGGGAAGGTTCTCCACTGTTCCATGTTTTTGCCATTTGTGAATAATGGCTCTCACTGTGGTTCTTATTGTTGTTTGTCACACTTTAATGTTTCAGATCATCAAACAAATTTAAATATTAGT